CATGGGTGGTCTTTGATCTCGTTAACGGTCGGCTTGTCGGATTCCCTGTCAGGTTCTTGTCAACAGTGTCAGTTGACATCGGACAGGATGTCCAACTTAATCGTGGTTTCAGGAAGGAATTCCCCAGAGATTCGGTGAGAAGGTGGGAAAAAAAGGGGGCCCTCTCTTTTTTGCTGATGTCCATGTGGAAGCGTTAGCAATCGCAATTTTGCGGATTTTTGCCTTCAAATTTGGTTGGATTCGAAAAAGTATTTATTCAATCTGAGTCATTAGTACAGATTATCACTTTAATAGTGGATTTATATAATTGTGACAATCCAATCAGTTCATCTTGAGGAAGCTTCTTTGAAGCCACACTGCGAGGCCATCCTTCATCCAGGTATGTAACTTTTTCAGTCTGCACCCCCTTTCACCAAGAAAAGTTGTAGTAGGGACCAACTGAGTTCTTGACCCTTCTAGGGCCTCTTCTTCCTCTTGTACCCCCTCTGGTACACCTCCTGTCCTGGTCTTAGCTAGACAAGGTATAGATCAGACTATCAGGTATACAGGCCTGGACATATGTAGCTGGGACTTGATTTCTACCCATAATATTTGGACCAAGGGATGTTCCACCCTGCTATCCGTACCCAGTTTTCCCCATCTGGAACAGTCTACTGGAGGACTGGATTATAGTGTACTGTCTCACCAGAGAAGTACCAACAGATAAGACATCATTTTTCTTTTATTGAAAATCACCTGCATGATACATTAATGGATCTCTGAGAGTATGCTTCATGCTTGTGCTTGTGTGCAGTATTTTCCTGAAAGTAGTATATTATAGTAGAATTATTGCTTGAAGATATAGCTATTGTCATGATACTTACGCTTTGCGGAATGGTCAGCCTTATAATGGTAGCATTGAAACCCAAACAAGCTTGTCATTAAAGTGATACTTTTTTTGCCTCAGTCTGAGAGCCCCCTTCATGCGATTTGGTATACCAAAGTCCATGGATTTCATCCGTCAGGTAAAGGTATCTAATTGAATTATTCATTGGACAATACAGGTAGTTGAATTATAATATAATAACACTGTATTTCATAACAAACCATCATAGTTCAGGACCTTACACATAACCTCAAACCTTACATAACTTATGCATAACTTGTAACTTCTTCATTTTTTTGTTTGTATGTTAGGAGATTATCAAGGCCTTAGAACTTTGCTATATGATCATATTATTATTGTCATTCATAATGGTAGGCAGACCTCAATAGATATAATATTAAGTATAATTTGTGATTATCTGACTGTGGCACCTTGCAGAGGGCAAATACCTGAATATATTCTGAGTAATAAGTTCAAACCTTGGTTTGGTATCTTTTTAAACCCACTCCCCCTCCACTGAGCTACCATAAATTGATGGAATATCAATAGTTGCTGCCCCCTTTGGTTGATTGTATTCCAGTGAAGTGGTACCTACAACCCTAATTTCCACTCTCAACGAAAGGGGGTGACAAAGGATTATTGACATTATTCGTCACGGTCACTCGATATTTCTTCTTTCAACCTTTTGAATGCAGCTTCACAAGAACTTCTCCACCGGAATGTTAAGGTTTTCTGAAGTAGCTTCCTGAGATGATGTGTCTTTGTGGAACAATCTGAAATTAATCTTGAATAATAGGTAACCATGCCTAAAAATCTCTTGACTTCATAAACATTTGTAGGTTTGGGCATCTCCATGATTGCCTCGATCTTGCTTTGGCATTTTGTCGGACTGTATGACCAAGATACTGGATTTCTGTTTTGAAGAACTCGCACTTATCTTTATTCAGGTGCAGATCATACTTCTGCAACTGCGAAATACATTTGTCAAGCCTTCTCTCGAACAACCGAAGATGATAATATCATCAAAATATGAAAGAGTTCCTTCCAGCCCCTGGAGGATAGGATCGAGAATCCTGTTGAATTCACTCGGTGCCGTCTTGATTCCGAAAGATAGGCGGTTCATGATGTAGGTGCCCTTGTGTGTCGATATGGTTTGAACTTTTGCACTGTCTTGATCCATTTTCACGTAAAGGTATGCCTTGAAGAGATCTAGCCGGGAAAAGCACGAAGGATTTCGAAGACTGCAATATTGAGTCTGCATGGATATCCTATCGAAGTAGTGCTACAAAATCAGCAACTGACTGATCTTCTTGCTGGTAAAGTGAATGGAATTTATGTTGGGCAACTAATATATTCTTTTTAGGAAATGATTTTCAAGTTTCTTTACGAATTCCTCATAAGGAAGATCATTCGGGGTTCTTGGAGAAACAAGGGAAACTATGAGCTGGTATGTTCTAAAACCAACTGAATTCAGAAACATTTGATTACAGAGCTTCCTATCTGAGTAAACATTTTGAAGCTTTCCTTTGAAGCAACGAAATTTTCGAAGTTTGGAATCAACATGGACGTTACGGTAGCTTGACTTGGAACTAAACTATCTGAAGCAGATGAACATTTATTTGACCGTATGTCAACTCGAAGTATTTTTCCAAATATAGCGGATGTTTCGGATATGTAAGTTATAACAATATCCGAAGACCAAGTCACATGGAAGCCTCATCTCTCGTCCGAATAGAACCTTCGCCGGAGTCTGTCCAGTAGATTCCTGTACTGCAGATCTGTAGAAGAGAGAGGTTTGTTCCAGTCTTGTTGGTGTTGATCCACAACTTTGCAGAAACACCGCCCTATGGTTTGGTTCATTCGCTCCACCATGCCATCTGACAGCGGATGCAATGGAGTTGTTCTTGTCTTATTGATTCCTAACTTCTCGCTCATCTTCCTTGACACTTCACTCTCGAATTTCCGGCCCTGATCAGAGTGAAGTTCCAATGGCACCCCAAAACGACTGATGAGTTGATCCATCAGGCCCATTACTGGCAAAGCATACGGTGCATTGTTATCTTCCTTTCCTATGATTTTAATATTATTCCACTCTGCCATATGTTGTACATTTCGAGTAAGGATATGTTCAGTTAGCTTTGATTTATCGATATGTATTTTCTTGATAACACCCAGAGAAGAAAAATTAAGGAATCCGCTTGCATTCTTCTCAACGGAGACAATAGCAGTATTGCTTTCTGTTCAGTTGATATAGAATCAATTAATGAAAACATCCTGTAACTCATTTGTATACTAGCATCATCACTCATCCATATGCCAACATCAGTATGTCACTGAGAAGTGTCAAACTATAAGAACAGAATTTTCGAAGAAAAACATTTTGCATTTTTATGTTGAGAACGGGAGCAGATTCGGTCCCGAAACGTCCAAAGATGAGTAAAAATTCGATATTTTTTCAATATTTCTCCTCTTCAAATCTGTTTCCAAACAAAGTGTCACTGACGAGTTATTGGATTTTTCTATTAGGCTCCCTGAAATATTTGTTAAACGCAGTGACTTTTTGGGGCAAATCATCTAATTTGTCCTACTACACATATATTGAAATAATACTCATATTTTTATTTTGTAGGAACGAAGAGAGAAAACCTGAAATAGTCAAGTAAAATGAATGTAACATCTCCTCGATTAACCTACAGACAGTATTCAATTGGATGTTTCCCAATCTGGTGCGGATACTACCTTTCGAAAATGTGAATTCAGTAAAGGTGTATTGAACTACCTCCATTTCAATGTATTTTAGATATAAACATTATTACACAAGAACACCAAGCATTGTTTATTTCTCATATAAGGTCGAAAAACACTGACACACTATACTCTACTTCACCTTCCAATCCAATACATAATCTTCTTCACTTTCTTCGACTTAAACATCCTATATCCTTCTGTATAGCATAGGAAGGATCCATTTTGTCGTCTCAAATATTACCTCAATTATAATCAACCTCGGACCTCGGTCATTGAATAAGAATACATCCAAATTGAATATTATATTACGGTTAATTATTCGTGACTTTTTCGAGCAACCAGCTCGTCAAATTATTTATTATACTCACAACAAAACATCATGTTGATGTTGAATAGAGACTTGGCAATGTCGTGCTGAATACTGAGAACTGACAACGCCCACAATCCTGTGTTGTCACGTTTACCAGACCAAATATCCTCTAGGGTGAATCAATATGATTATTATTATCACAAATTCATCTTAAGCAATAAGACACAACATATAGCTATCTAAAAATATTACCAATATAAAATTGAAAATTTATGAATTATTAAATAGATAATATGCCCTACCACGAAGGTTGTTCAGATTTGCCAGGAAAAATCGTAGTGTGATATATGGACATTTTTTTTACTGAATTGACTCAAGTGCTACTTTTTGTTGAAGGGGCCAAAGAAACCTGCTATTCATATCGGGCAAATAGATTTGTATGTACTTATTTGCTTCTTGACTAAAAAAAATCTAAGGGACTGTGTTCGGGAAACAATAGACTATACAAATCCCGTTCAGGAAGGTTGTTTTTACTCATGTCAATTCATCCGACAGAATCGCAAGTTTTGGCACTATGACATTTCATTGTTTTAGTGGAAATCATAGTAAATTCCCTGAGTAATGAGAAAATATATTCAGAAGTGCACAAAAAACAGAAAATGCTTCAGCTTTTCAATAATTCGAGGTGGGATTTTTAAAGAAGGGTAGCAAATGTACCAAATCAATCGATGTAAGACGATCCCTTGAATATAAATATAAAAAAAATTACAGGGTGTCCTAGTTTGGAATCAAAAGTGGGGGGTTGTTTCCGGTTGAACCGGAAGTGATAGAACAATAATCGTTTTGTCAATAAATGATCACTGTAGTATACTTGCTACCCACCAAAATTTAGAATCTGATCTCGAATGATTGAGAAGTTACAGCACTGGCCATTTTTTGTACACTTATTTGTATGTTGATACCACAACTCAGACATTATGTATAGGTGCGAATCAATAATGGCCATCTTTCCCTATGAGATTGTTCGACAAACATAACTCATCTTATTTTGAAACTAAAACCTATGACAATACTTACTTGGAAGGCGAAAATATAGAAGGAAATTCTACATCTGAAGGAATACTGTTCTATGGCATGACTTTTGGTCAGAGCATTTCTATCAATCTTCTCAACAATGGGGAATTTTTCTTTGATTTGGCCAAGTAAGATTTCAGTTTTTTGTATTAGTCTTGGAATCAGCAGAGTCATTAGCACAGCATCATGATCACCTAAAAAGATCATTGATAAATAATAATAATATTAATATTTATTATTTATAAAAAAAAACACATCTCAGTCTCAGTGGAACTTTCCTTTAAATTGATATTTTCTGGTAAAAAATGTAGTCACATATAGAGTTGAATAATAATTAGTTTCATGACATGTTTGTTAGTTTGGCAGACGAGTGGAGATGTACCATAATTCAAAACTAGCCACAGAAAGTACTTCGACTTTGAATAAATCGTGTTTTTCATGGTAAACTTCGTTTCATCAACTACTGATTGTATTTCCGCATTTTCAATCAAATTTAACTCCTTTACAATGTTTCCTAACAAGTGAGTATTTCATATAGAAAACAAAAGGCGAGGTAAAATGGTTATATCATAGAAAAACATTGCCATGGTTTAGGTTTCGAATTTCCCTCTTCAAAAATACAGCATATTTCAGCTTCGTGGCCACCCGGTACGTATGAATATTTTTATGGAAAATAATATATCGTATCTCATACGTGACAGCAAAGCTTCAATGGGAATGGATCACTCTCACTTCACTAACTAAGACTCAACAGATATGGAAATGGAACCTCATCGATATCCGGACTACGCCCAGCAACTATAGACCTATCGTCCTCAATCAATTATATCCAAGTGGTGGAGAAAACCATCAACATGGAGCTCATCAAACATCTGGAAATCTCTGGAATCACAAATGATCGACAATATTGCTTTCGACATCGGAAATCATCTAGGGATTTTCTTGTCTAAGTTACCCAAATATGGTAAGTTTGATAAGCAAAACATGGGGTATCTCTAGTGTGGCGTTAGATATAACAAAAGCATTCGACCGTGTTTGGCACCAAGTACTTCTACACAAACTAACATCATATGGCTTACCACCTTAGCTATGCCTTCTACCATCGACTTTTTTTTTGAGACAGCTAGCATTATGTGATGGTGGACGGAGTATCATCTGATACCAGCCACCAATTCCGGCGTACCACAAGAATCCATTTTGACACCAACATTGTTCCTACTCCATATCAATGATCTGTCGGGAGTAACCATTTGTCCTACCTACAACTTTGCAGGTGACAGTGATCTCCATACTGCATTCTCCTCCAGAATTTATATTTCATATCAGGAAACATAGATGCATAGAAAGTCATATGGTGTTATCACTTCCTATTTAAAAGAGTTTCGTAATCTCTCGATATCGCCTACTTTGTGAAAATAGTCAGGCGTGGGATAATCTTGCAAAATTTCCGAAGATCCAAACCAAATTTACAGGCATCATGACACATTAATTTGAGTTCACATTTTATGAGCATATGTTCACAATTTTTTATGTAAATGGAAACGGTGCGTTATATTTTCGACTTTCAATGGTGAATTCATGAACAACAGGTAGTCCTAACTAAAAAAAAAACTGTGATATGAACTATTATTACTCACTTTTGGTACATAAAATAAATCGAATGTTTTGATTTTCAAATGATCCTCACACATTGCAGCAGTCAGTCCATGATGAAAGCACAATACACTCACTTAACTAATAATATAATATCAATACATACTTAATAAACTACTAATGCTCTTATTTTATACTATTTCTATTTGTAATTGGAACAAAATTTTGAATATGCTGATAACATAACACTCGTGACAGATATGTCAAGATCAAGATGTTTCAGCACGAATTATTTGTTGCGCCCTATCTCTTCTGCGTCCTGTCTCTAGATGCTTCTCATCAGCTATTATTGAATTCGTGCATCATCAACGAGACTCTTCATGTCCCCAAAGAAGAAAAACACATCATTGAAAGTCTCGTTCAACTTCATAATAATATGAGAACCCCACGTTCCGAACTCGCATTCAATTGTTCATATCGAGAGCTAGTCTGACGAAACAATTGATGAGTCGAAGGAATTATAAACCTCATGCATACGGTAGGTCAACGATGCCAATGAAAATCTTGCTAAAATTAGAGCCTGGAGAACCAACAACTACTAAAACTGAAGCCTGTATTTTCTCTGAAAAGGCCGAACTCTGTGTGTCTGGCACCACCATTCCCACAAAATCCACCATATCTATGCTCGGCATTTCCATCAGTGACACTCTTTCCATAGCAAAAGCTGCTTTACAAAAACTCGGCTTTTTATTTCGAATGGAGAGCTAATTTACACCACAACAGCTTTTGAAATATAAAACACAGATCCGGCCCGTTTTCGAACACTGTTCCCAAATATGGGGTTCGGCACCCGAACATACGCAGATGCTCTGAAATTCCATCCAAAGACAAGCCGTTCACCTGGTTGGGGATGCCACAATAGCTAATTCCTCGACATCATTGGAACACCGCAGAAAAGTCGATGAACTTTCACTTTCCTATAGATACTTTCATGGAAAATATCCTTCAGAAATCTCGGCTATCATTGAAATTAATTTGTTGGGTTAGTGTGCATGTGCTTTGATATTTATGAATGGATTATTGATTGAATAAAAATGTATTATCATCATATAATAATAAACATTCTCACCTCCTCTGTTCATGAATGAATCTGGCATATAAGAGCTCAAATATTTGATATGCTGCTGTAGCTGTTGTATATCGATTCTTCGCAGCTCCAGGTCTATTGCTTTGGTATGCGCTTTGGTCTCGGTGAACATTTTCTTGAAATCTATTATTTCAGGAAGGGCAGACACCGGTTTACTAGTTTCTGTTTCGAGACGATGCTGCAAATCTAGAGATTGCTCTTGCAGCTGGTGGACTAGTTGTCTGAATTTGCTTATCGTTTGTTCACGGTCAGCAATCGTTTCGATAGCTGCATCTTTATCACGCAAAGCCTGGAATAAGGAACAAGAATACATTCAAATATACTTTGGTACTTGATATGAGACAACTGAATTCAAGGCGTTGGCATAGCGTTCGTATATTAAAAGATAAAATAGCTTTGAATATATTTTTGGTGCTATTTAACATCATGTTTCACATAGGTCATCATACAAATATAGAAATAAATAACTGGAATATAAGTAAAAAATACTTTTCCTTCTTTCTAAGAAAGTTTGAAGAACAGAGTTCATTTGTTTTCAGATCCCTTAAAGTGTTTGGTAGTTTATTATAAAATTCTGGAGCATAACGGAAGATAGATTAATGTAGTCTTAGATTATTCATTTTCATATTGTCTCAGTAGTGTGATCTTACACCTTGTATATAGAATAGAATGTTTCAATGTTTGAAGGATTAGATTGTCATTGTCAGAGAATTAATTAATTACATCTTTCAGAAGTTACCTGAAACACATTGCCAATGCAGGTGTTGCCCGAGGCATATAACCTCCAAAAATTTAAGAACACCAATTCCTACCTTATTTTCCTTGGTTCTCACGATAATCTCTGAACATTACAGGATATCCCTTTTCATGGGAACCAGAACATAAAAAAAACCTTTATTTTCATTGTGATACTATTGAATTTATATCTCCTTACAAGTAGAACTCTGAAAAATAAGTTGGGTTTGCTCCGTAAAACATTTCTACAGCGGCATTCGTGTTCAAGATACAAGGTGTTGAAAAAACAATACAATATTTTACGATTATGTCGAAACTACTGGCAACATTGTAATGAATTTTTGAGTAAATATGTTTTGAAAGATAACACATCGCATGGAAATGTTTTCATATCTGACTCATATAGAGGGCGCTAGTTACACGGTTAGTACCAAATAGTTTTGAAGATAACTTTTTCGAGGTTAGATTCTCTAGTTTATTTTCCATGTACCAAAATGTACCCTCAGCAAAACTAGATACTGTGTACTATTTTCGGAATATATTCATTTGAAAATAACGATTTTCTCGAAAACTACTAGCCCTGTCGATTTGAAGTAGGAGTACTTTCTTTACTTTAAAAACCTTCATGTATCATAATGCTAAAATGATAATTTAGAAAAAATATACCATGAAGAAATTGGGATTGTTTTTACCCTCAACCCGTCCAGTATAGTACGCTCCTGATATGAATTCTAATTTATCTAAGTTTATGATTTGTTGAGGGTTTTGGAAATATTGAGGAACATCTTCAGGGTGTACTATTTGAAGGGGAGTAGCTTCCTAAGGAAGCATTTTTCGATAAATGTTTATGGGAACTTTTTCCACCCAGGAATCACTCCACGAATTTTATACTAATGTATAGGAAAAGATGATGTTTTTTCGTGATTTTTCATGTATATCTATTCAACTAGTCAAGTTTTTGATATCATATAACCCTTCACCACAAGCCAAGAAAACATTCGAATATATACATTTTTGTTTTTTTTTTTTCTGGTTACGGCAAACTTCAATTGACCCATCCATAGCTGAAGACGATTTTGGTTTTTCAAGATTTTCTGATGCATTCTTATCCCATTGAAGTCTTAAGATATTTATTCATCAGTTGGGATTTCGACAAGCTCCTTTCAGATATTGCAGTTATATCCAGAAAAAGCAAAAACAGGAAACATGCTGTTGACCTCCAGAAAACTTGATGCAAGGCTATTGAGTTTTCTGAATTTCAGATTTAAAACATGATCTGAAAGCAATTATTCATACAGATCGACTGACATATCTTTACATATCTTTGATTAATATAACACAGGCAGATTTCTAGCTTCCATTTTTATTTTTTCCTCTAAAAACTATAAGTTTCTCCAGTTGTGACACTTCAAACCTATTACTCAGGTCACAGAGGCTCTGAAATATTTGTTTAGTTGGAGAAATTAATATATCTAGTACCTACATATTTACATTGGGGTACTATTCTGTGATACTAATGTCTGCTGACGTGCGTTGTTGGAAATCTGATACATCCAGTGTAATTGTCAAATTTTTGGCGCCTTCTGAAGTTTAGCGTACAGTCGGCAACAACGATGCCTGACAGACTGCTCCATCTCATCAACTCTACAGCCCAATAGTTTGAGTAATATTATCGATAACATATTACGAATCTTTGATTACACAAGATTACAAGCGTTTCTGATGTGAATAATGCGTCTACGCGTTCGAAATTGTCAAATATCAGATATTGCCGTCATGGCCGCCATGTTCTGGGATACGTCGGATACGTGGTGACATCAGTTGTTATGTTTCCTTATTAGCCAGATAATCTTCCACTCCCACTCAAGAAGCAATGTTTTTAAGTCACCAATCATTTTAATCAAGTTATTGAAAAGTTGTTGTAAGTCCTGTTGTTGGATAAAAATACATCCAAATTAAATATTCCATTTGACCTAATGAAAGGAAACCATAAAACCATGCTTGTCAAAATATTTCTTATATTCCATATTGAAATATCATGTGAATATAGGCTGGATACTTAGCAAAATGTTCTGGAAACTGACAACTGATGACAACGTTCAAAATCCTTGCCGTGTTGTCACGTTTACCTGATCAAACGTCCTCTACTGTGAATTAATATAATTATTTACACTTATTCATTATAAGCAATAAGCCACTACACATAAAAGAGGGAAAATTTAAGATATTGGGTTTTTCATAGGTAATTGAGAATATGGAAATATTACCGATAAATGTATGAATTATCAAATAAATATAATTTCTAAAATTCCCATTCGGATTTCAACAAATGGCAACTGTGCTTCTTACGAAATCACGTCACGTGACGTCAAATGCAACCCATTAGAAAATTACTACGGCATTATTGAATATTTTAGGACCTTAAAATCGACCTAAAAATCTGAAAATATATGGAATTGAAAGGTAGTTGATAGATGATTCTAAATTATAAAAATATTCCTGTTGCATATACATATCAACAGTTTTGACAAAAAATGCAAACAAACTCGAAGTTGACGCTAATATTTTTGATATCAAAATGATGGACAATGTCACTTAATAATTAACGGAGATACAGATTCTAAAACGAAACAGGCGCTACCAAATTGAGCACAGCCTCTAGATTAAGTTACCTCTCTGGTGGCCGCAAGGGCCATATCCAATTCTTCTCGTAAATCTGCTTCCAATTCAGCATTACTTTCCACCAATTGATCGTTCATGTCTTGTAGAGCTTCTAGCTCGGCTACTTCTTCTTGAAGTTGCACGACTTTTTCTTCCAGAGTCAATTTTTGATCGCTCAGTATCACTACCATTTCTTCTGCGCCTAATGCTGCATCCACCTGGAATGAAAGTAGGTACTGTTAAAGAATCTATGACATCATTATTAGACTCAAATAAAAAGTAATTGTTTCAAACTTCACACTTGCTATAATGAACACATAAATTCTTCAAAACTATAATATCACTTATCAACAAGAAAATTATCAAGTTTAATTTTGAAACAGATTTGGATTTTTGTATAAAATCTGGTAGCAAATTATAAACATACATTTATTCAGTACAAACAATTAATTTCTATTCTCGAACACAATTAAGCATGAGTCAAGAAATAAAAGACAAGGAACAGTTGAAATTTTAAAATTTTTGAAAGCATTTCTGACCTATATACCACTAATGATTCGTATGAGTTTTTTCGTGCTATGAAGACATCAGAGCAGCTAGAGCATCATATGTCTCAGTCTGGGATCCACCTGAGCATAGTACAGCTTCAGCAGCTGATCAACATTTGTAACCTGCCTTATACTCCTGAACTGATATGAAATAGAGTAATTTTTTTTAGCAGAAGATCATAGTTGTTCTGCCAATTCAGAGATAGATTTGTTAAAAGTATTTATTCAATATCATCAATCGGAGATAACAAATTAATTAGAAATCAAGTAGAATTTCATCTTCGAGTATATCCAGATTTGGAAGGTCGCTGGAATTCTTATTATGATAATATGTAGGACTATAACATAGAGTTTCAGCCCTAGGTATTCTACCTCTACCTCAGACTTGAGTCGGAATATGACCTAAAAACGTTGTATACGTATTCCTAACCTCATTTCGAGGTGAAAACTTCCTGTTCACGTATGTCCTATATCTCTGAGATACAGGATTTGAAAATAACGAATAAAATTGTTCATATTAATTTCTTCGGAACCCCTGGAGAAAAAATGGTATATTATCTTAGAATATTCAGAGTTATCATTTAGTTTTGATTTTTTAATTTTGTTAACCAGTCGCGTAGTCACAATCGTATGTCGTCACATTTTCCTTCATATTTTTATTTAGACAGATGAAATGTCAAGTTGGTATGTGACATCAGTTAGGCTTCTTAATAGGATAGAGAGAAGGGGTAGGTATTGCAATTTTACAAGTTCTTAGGAATACTTCCGTCGGCAAAGAATTCCAAAGCTTAACCGTTCTATAGACTAACGCGTTCTGGTTGATGAGCAGTTCGACATATCTCAAGGTTGACGACAACATGATGTACTGACTGGGCTAGTTGAGTTCGTCTGAATGGTATTGCCAGTGATGGAATGATAGCAGAGATTTCTGAAGAACATTTCCCGTGGAAGAATCTATAGAAAAGTGAAAGGTCATCGACTTTTCTATGGTATTCCAATGATGTCACAAAATTAGTGAATTTGGCATTACCCTCCAGGCGAAGGGCTCTTAATTGTATGGAATCTAAGAGCATTAGCGTATGTTTGGGTGTGGAATGAGAAGTAAGTTTGTTGATCTACTTCCGACTCACCCATACTCAATGTTCTCAACATTAAAAAACGTTCAGGATGTTGAGACATTTTTCAATATCTCCTGAAAGATCAGCATTATGCGATTATGGCATGGAGCAAATTTGGTCTAAACTCAATATTATTTCCTCAAGATATAAGAAATCATATCTTTAGTTTTCACAAATACCTCATAAACCTATTTAGGTATATGAAATATCATAACTTTTGGGTTAGGTATCGATGAGCCTAACATATATCATAAAATATACCAATTCGACAATTCGTCTGTCTAGAAAAAAATGTGACGGAGACTACATGTTATTAAATTGATTTGTACGAGTACACTTCTTTGAATAAAACAATATATCTATCTATCCAATCTGGAATAGTATACCGACTTTCAAATTTTTGACGTCAGGTGTTCTGAAGAAATGAATATAATATTTATTTTTGTATCAAGGGCGTAAAATTGGCTTTAATGGACCATTGCGTATAAGAGCCCGTGCCGAGCGTCTAGATCCATAAAAAAAGTTACGCCCGAAATACATACATTTTATGTACGACAAGTATATGTTATACATACATACATAAATACATCGTGGCTGCAGTGACGAATATGATTGATGGAATCAACGTTACCATGGTAATCTCATAGCTTATTTTAAATTTGATCATATCAAGAAATATCAGGAGAACTGTAATATATTAGATATTGATCCATCATAATTGAAGCATAAATGCTAGTTACCTATACGCCGGGCGATAAAGTAGTCATCACGCGGTAAAGTGCCACCTGAAGAGGAATTTCAACTTAGATACGTCATGATTTAATATATAACTCATAAAATGTCTAATGCTCACTTGTTCTTGTAGATCCGAAATTTGTTGTTCCATTTCTTCTACTCGTGCACTGAGCTTCTCTTTCGTTTTACCCAGCTCGGTGATTTCGGATTTCTTCTGATCGATATCTTTCATGAGCTTCTGATATTCGTGCTTCTCGTGAGCTGACAAGTCTCTCAGTCGCACCAATGTCTCTCTCAAGCGAGCATTCTGTTGTTGCAATTGCTTCATTTCGTAGGCAGATACTTGTCCTTCTCCTGATGAAGGAACTGATGCTCCAGCTAAAAAAAGGCCAATTCAAGAATAGGAATTACTGTCTAATCATTTATGTCATTCCAACTTAGAAATTAATTATACTTCATATATGTATTTGTATTAAAATGTAGTATCGAAGAAAAATGTAATACATTAACTGAAATAAATAAATAAATAAATAGATAAATAAATAAATAGATAAATAAATAAATAGATGATAAAAAAAGGTACTATACATGTAGAGGTGGGCAAATTTCGATATTTGTTTAGGGTAACTCGGTATCTACATGAAATATAAAAAATTGAAGTCACATTCTCGATCTCTTTTATCGACACAAATTCACTGACGGAAGCAAAATTTGCTAACTTCTTTTATTTTCGAATTATGAAGAAAAGGTCGACATGTGAATATCATGATTGTTTGTGAAGGTAAAAGGAAATAACTCTTAAAAAATGTGTAATTTCGAGTTATGTCCTAAAGTTGCATTATTTTTAATGGGAATCATAGTTGGCTATGGTTTAGTTAAGACGGTTCTTTCTCCCTTTCTAACGTATCATATGCAGGGTGTCCCATAAGTCATGGATAAAAAGAAGTGGGTTGGTATTGAGGGGTCATTTTCTAATCAAACTAACCGTATATGTGGTTTTCCAATTGTCGGTGGTTCAAAAGTTATTCAATTATTTTCATTTCTCCAAAAAATAGTTTGTTAACTGAGAAATTGATTATAATAAAACTTTAGGCAAAAACTTATGCCAACAAAGATGTTATCATCAACTTTTACAATAAATGTTCAAAATGTCTGCCGTGATATCTGATACATAGTCTGCATCTGCGAATAACATTTCTTTTCATTAGTCCGAAGGCTCCTTGATTGTTTTCAATTGCCCTAGTTGGGTAACTTTTTCTGATAGTTGGTCATCTCTGTGAGGTAGTTTTTAAATCTGCCAGCGGCATTGAAAAGTCAAGTGAATTATTTCATTCATTTCTTTGGGAAAGGTGCATCCATGCGGATAAAATATGTAAAATAAGAAAATACAAATGTGACATATTTTTATTGTGAGTAACATTTTTGCAAACAAACTATTTTAGGGGGAAATGAAAAAATGAATATCTTTTGAACCATCAACAATTGGATAACCACTTCTTTTGATCCATGACTTGTAGGACACCATACCCTGTTTGTCGACTATTACTTGGTGAGTCTTTATATGGGAAAATAATATCTTACTTGATCACTTTTTGCATTTTTGAATAATTCAAGTCATCTATGACAGGGTTTGTCCACTTGTTACCGTCATAATATCAATTGACTGATAAACTGGGCGTCAATTGAAACGTTAATAGTGAAATTTGGCATCAAGTTTGACTTCTCGTAATTTCTAAAATATTGAACCAATTTTGAATTGCCACCCAGATTCTGAATGCCTTTTTCATCGTCTTTCGAACCGTTCCTTACAGCTTCTTCTAAATTGATCAGGACCCGTGATACAGGGTGAAACAAAGTTTCGTGCATTTTGAAAAAAATCTCTCCGCCCCCCCATTTTGTCGGAAGACCACCATGCTCATATTTTATTCGGGCATTTCATAAATAGCAACCATACCTCCGAAAAATATTTTTTTTTGCATTTTTTTAAATGGACTAATTTTAGAGGAGTTCCATAAATGGATGCTTTTATGCATTTCAGGAAAGCGTTGGAGCAGATATGTATACCAGGTTACTCAAAAACAATCAATAATTTATTACTTCGCAGTCTATGATAAAAGTTGTCTACCTTAGTGAGCAGTAAATCAACACATCTCATCAACAAAAACAAACAACGATACCTTGTTTTTATAACAACGTATTGTTGAAACAATGTAGGTATGCATAGAGGTTATATCAATTGCCAATTTTCATGAAAACGTCAGTGTAATTCGGGTCCTAAAACATTTAAAGATGCCTCGTTCAAATCGGGTCGAAATGGAAAATATCATTTGGTAAGATCATTATAGTGATATAAACTATAATTCAGTACAGATAATTATTATAGTACCATTTTCAATAAGTCAGTCATGACAATAAATAGGCTGATTCATCGTTTTGAGGAGACAGGTAACCAGGCCATTTAAAAAAAATGCAAAAAAAAAAATTTTTCGGAAACCACACTAGTTTTTGGCAAACACTCGAAAACGTCCCGAGGTATGGTTGCTATTTATGAAATGCTTGAATAAAATATGAGCATCGTGGTCTTCCGACAAAATAGGGGGGCAGATAAATTTTTTTCAAAATGCACGAAATTTTGTTTCACCCTGTATCACGGGTCCTGATCAATTCCGAAGAAGTTGTAAGGAACGGTTCGAAAAACGATGAAAAAGGCATTCAGAATCTGGGCGGCAATTCAAAATTCGTTCAATATTTTAGAAATTACGAGAAGTCAAACTTGATGCCAAATTTCACTATTAACGTTTCAATTGACGCCCAGTTTATACTCGTGAAAGTGGAGATGTACGGGTTCAACATGGTCAACCAGCAAAGAAAGCAACTATTGAGTGTTCCTGCCCACAAAAAAGAAGTGTTGAAGAACGTTCTTTCATATTATTTCTGATACAATAAATACAGGAGGGTTCAAAGTTATAGTGACAAAAAGCTAGGGGAGATTGCGCCCAGCAAAATTTAGAAAAATAGTTCATTTGAACATGGATCATAGATTTCTGTTTGCTGAGAATAATTTGTCTTGATCTTGATTTTGAAGGATATTAGATACCCAAGTTTCATAAGATCACTGTAACTGTTACAGTTTGGCAACCAATATGAGAATGCTCGTTCATATGTTTTGGAATGGTAAGAGTATTGGTGTGTCATTAATGTCTGCTGTGTATTCGATTTCTGCGTATAAATTTGCCAAATTTATAATTAGTAATTACACTATGAGATTCAATATCATCAATGACAACATTATTCACATTCGTAGAAGACAATGTGGCCACATGGTTCCTGATAATCACTTATTGATTACTTATATACCTTGCAAGATGCTTCAGTGTCACTAGTGTCAGTCATAATATCCTAATACTCCTTATTAGGATTTTATTCGAATCCAATCTTTTTTGTGACTCTGGCAACAGCGTTATGCTAGAATTCATATAAATATCAGAAAATTCTAACCTAACCTTCTTACGTCAGTCTCGTCTAATGTATAACTTCACAAACGATAAGATTTTCACAAAATTCTCAAACACACGACATGTTTCGCTAACACAGTAGCTTCGTCATTGCTCCGTTCATTGTACCAGTATATCACCTTACGAAGCTACCGTGTTAGCGGAACATGTCGTGTGTTTGAGAATTTTGTGAAAATCTTATCGTTTGTGAAGTTATACATTTGCCATGGATTTCCATCAAGTACCGGCCGAGCCAATTAAAAATTAGTCAGTATTGTCTGTCACCATCATCTTCAAAATCTATCATCCAGTCAAATCCATGCTGAAATCTAACAAATACTGCGAATATTGAAAAATACTCCTCATATTCTGATTCTTCAGAGGTGAAATTTATTCTCTGTTATCTGCAGTAAGATTTCAGTCCAGAATATTCATTTCATATTTTGATTGAAATGACAATCAGAAATATTCTTGCACCCGTTTTACAGAAGTCGGTTGAAGCTTATATGGTTGCATTGAGTTATTCACGGATTATGTCACGCATTTTCCCGCGTTTTTCATGTTTCGTGAATTTCAATAATTAGTTTTAAAATGTACAGAGCTCTGAGGAAAATAAAAATTGTTTGTGAAAATGAACTAGGTGGCGTTAGTACTTCGAAATAATGCAATTTTTCTTTCACTTATAATTACACGAGAGCTTTTTTTTGTCGAAGTAAACTTGACATGTATCCATAAGAATTTTGTTGCCTGGAAATTTAACGATAAAAACTGCCTTTGAAAAGATTACGAGTCCGTAGGTCGAGTAATTTTTTCTGTCAGTTTCTTGAGTTGAATTACCTAATGGCAACGAAATTCGAATTATAAATGCCAAGTTTACTTCGACTAAAAAATTAGCTAGAGTGTAATTCAGTAAGACAATTTAATTCATCAACCATTTTTTGTTTATGACTGGTTATCATGCTTTCAAAAGTTAGGTTTCGTTATTGTAGGATTTTTCATACATAAATTAAATTGTCACTGAAACAAGCCCATTGTAGTTAAAAAGTGTCAATCACACTCTGAACCCACCTCTTTCCTGCATTTCGGCCTTCAGAATATCCAAATCCAGCGTGACCTCCTCGAGCCGCTCCTTGCACACGTCGAGCTCCAACTGCAACGTTTCGGCCTTCTCCTCCGCCATCTCCCTGTCGAGCGTCGCCATCTCGACGGCCTCGGCCAAGTCGGCCACCTCTTCAGCGTGCGTCTCGCGCGCCTCCACCGCCTCCTTCGCCTCCAACTTGGCCTTCTGCAGGTCTCTCTGCAGGCTCGCCTGCGTGCTCATTATCTTCGATTTGAATTCGACGAGCTGCTCCAACTGCGAAACATAGCAATGATCAAACCGTCAGGCTAAATAACAATATATAGACACTGCAATTCATTCATAGATCATTGAAACGGATATATCAACAATCCCGCACGTCAAATATGCCTCCACCACCCCTTTCGCCTCTAGCTTGGTCTTCTGCAGGTCGCGCTGCAGGCTGACCTGCGTGCTCATTATCTTCGATTTGAATTCGACGGGCTGCTCCAACTGAGGAACATAGCAATAATCAAACCGTCAGATTAAATAACAATAGTTAGACACTGCAATTCGTTCACAGATCATTGAAACGGATATATCAACAATCCCGCACGTCAAATATGCCTCCACCACCTCTTTCGCCTCTAGCTTGGTCTTCTGCAGGTCGCGCTGCAGGCTGACCTGCGTGCTCATTATCTTCGATTTGAATTCGACGGGCTGCTCCAACTGAGGAACATAGCAATAATCAAACCGTCAGATTAAATAACAATAGTTAGACACTGCAATTCGTTCACAGATTATTGAAACGGATATATCAACAATCCCGCACGTCAAATATGCCTCCACCACCTCTTTCGCCTCTAGCTTGGTCTTCTGCAGGTCGCGCAAGTATCTTCTACTTCTTCTTTCAAAAAATGCTTGAAATCATTTCTTATAGAAAAGTGTTTCTACTCGCTTAACGAATATTTTCATAAATGACCATGTTTCTCTCTTTTATATAATGTTCGTCGATCATATTATGTAATCTGTCATTTATCTAGTTTCAGATTTATATATTTGTAACAACCTGACTATTCCTATATTTTTTCTTAGAAAGTCTACAGGAAAATAAAGATATTTATTTATTTATTCTGCAGGTCGCGCTGCAGGCTGACCTGCGTGCTCATTATCTTCGATTTGAATTCGACGGGCTGCTTCAACTGAGGAACATAGCAATAATCAAACCGTCAGATTAAATAACAATAGTTAGACACTGCAATTCGTTCACAGATCATTGAAACGGATATATCAACAATCCCGCACGTCAAATATGCCTCCACCACCTCTTTCGCCTCTAGCTTGGTCTTCTGCAGGTCGCGCTGCAGGCTGACCTGCGTGCTCATTATCTTCGATTTGAATTCGACGGGCTGCTCCAACTGAGGAACATAGCAATAATCAAACCGTCAGATTAAATAACAATAGTTAGACACTGCAATTCGTTCACAGATTATTGAAACGGATATATCAACAATCCCGCACGTCAAATATGCCTCCACCACCTCTTTCGCCTCTAGCTTGGTCTTCTGCAGGTCGCGCAAGTATCTTCTACTTCTTCTTTCAAAAAATGCTTGAAATCATTTCTTATAGAAAAGTGTTTCTACTCGCTTAACGAATATTTTCATAAATGACCATGTTTCTCTCTTTTATATAATGTTCGTCGATCATATTATGTAATCTGTCATTTATCTAGTTTCAGATTTATATATTTGTAACAACCTGACTATTCCTATATTTTTTCTTAGAAAGTCTACAGGAAAATAAAGATATTTATTTATTTATTCTGCAGGTCGCGCTGCAGGCTGACCTGCGTGCTCATTATCTTCGATTTGAATTCGACGGGCTGCTTCAACTGAGGAACATAGCAATAATCAAACCGTCAGATTAAATAACAATAGTTAGACACTGCAATTCGTTCACAGATCATTGAAACGGATATATCAACAATCCCGCACGTCAAATATGCCTCCACCACCTCTTTCGCCTCTAGCTTGGTCTTCTGCAGGTCGCGCAAGTATCTTCTACTTCTTCTTTCAAAAAATGCTTGAAATCATTTCTTATAGAAAAGTGTTTCTACTCGCTTAACGAATATTTTCATAAATGACCATGTTTCTCTCTTTTATATAATGTTCGTCGATCATATTATGTAATCTGTCATTTATCTAGTTTCAGATTTATATATTTGTAACAACCTGACTATTCCTATATTTTTTCTTAGAAAGTCTACAGGAAAATAAAGATATTTATTTATTTATTCTGCAGGTCGCGCTGCAGGCTGACCTGCGTGCTCATTATCTTCGATTTGAATTCGACGGGCTGCTTCAACTGAGGAACATAGCAATAATCAAACCGTCAGATTAAATAACAATAGTTAGACACTGCAATTCGTTCACAGATCATTGAAACGGATATATCAACAATCCCGCACGTCAAATATGCCTCCACCACCTCTTTCGCCTCTAGCTTGGTCTTCTGCAGGTCGCGCAAGTATCTTCTACTTCTTCTTTCAAAAAATGCTTGAAATCATTTCTTATAGAAAAGTGTTTCTACTCGCTTAACGAATATTTTCATAAATGACCATGTTTCTCTCTTTTATATAATGTTCGTCGATCATATTATGTAATCTGTCATTTATCTAGTTTCAGATTTATATATTTGTAACAACCTGACTATTCCTATATTTTTTCTTAGAAAGTCTACAGGAAAATAAAGATATTTATTTATTTATTCTGCAGGTCGCGCTGCAGGCTGACCTGCGTGCTCATTATCTTCGATTTGAATTCGACGGGCTGCTTCAACTGAGGAACATAGCAATAATCAAACCGTCAGATTAAATAACAATAGTTAGACACTGCAATTCGTTCACAGATCATTGAAACGGATATATCAACAATCCCGCACGTCAAATATGCCTCCACCACCTCTTTCGCCTCTAGCTTGGTCTTCTGCAGGTCGCGCAAGTATCTTCTACTTCTTCTTTCAAAAAATGCTTGAAATCATTTCTTATAGAAAAGTGTTTCTACTCGCTTAACGAATATTTTCATAAATGACCATGTTTCTCTCTTTTATATAATGTTCGTCGATCATATTATGTAATCTGTCATTTATCTAGTTTCAGATTTATATATTTGTAACAACCTGACTATTCCTATATTTTTTCTTAGAAAGTCTACAGGAAAATAAAGATATTTATTTATTTATTCTGCAGGTCGCGCTGCAGGCTGACCTGCGTGCTCATTATCTTCGATTTGAATTCGACGGGCTGCTTCAACTGAGGAACATAGCAATAATCAAACCGTCAGATTAAATAACAATAGTTAGACACTGCAATTCGTTCACAGATCATTGAAACGGATATATCAACAATCCCGCACGTCAAATATGCCTCCACCACCTCTTTCGCCTCCAGTTTGGCCTTCTGCAGGTCGCGCTGCAGGCTTGCCTGCGTGCTAATTATCTTCGATTTGAATTAGACGAGCTGCTCCAACTGAGGAACATAGCAATAATCAGACCATCAGACTAAATCAGCAATAGATATACACTGCAATTCATTCACAGATCAATGAAAGGGATATATCAACAATCCAGAACGCCAAATATGCCTCCACCGCCTCTTTCGCCTCCAGCTTGGCCTTCTGCTTGTGCTTGTGCTCATCATCTTCGATTTGAATTCCACGAGTTGCTCTAACTGCGGAAGATATAGTAGAGCAATAGTCGAACCTTCAAAATGAAATTAAATTTATTACGAGAAATGCGACTGAATGATCCTAATGAATAACTCAACTACCTACTTTCGTGTAACGTGCCGTCAATTCAATGAACTCATCTCATTCGTAGGACCAGAAATGAAGAAATTATATATGACAACAGAAACCTTACCTCCTGCTCATTTTGCCGCATGACTATGAACATCAAATTCTGTTAAAAATTTCATATTTTGTGGAATTCGTACAAGTATGAACATAGCTTGATTCTTGGCATTTACATACCGGATTTAAGCGTTTAGTACCCATCTGTGTAGAGAAGTCACCAGGTAGCAGTCCTAAGACCGCCATCTAGGCGTAACCTGACCCAACGAAAATCAAATCGGCATTTATACTCTCAGAGACGCTTCCCAATGACATTATAGAAACAATGACATCTAGAGCAGAAGGAAAGAAACACTGAACTGAAATTCCCATGTCGGTGAGAAATGGGAGTGACTGATTTCCCGGCTGGGGATATTTCAACTACAAAATAGCCGAAATAAGCTTTGACTACATTATCAACAGTTCATTCCTCGAAAAGGAATATTCTCAGATATATTAATGAACACAAAAAAATGGATACATATATAAGAAATACATTGAGTATTCGCATTCTCCATGTGATGAAAATATAAGAAATACATTGAGAATTCGCATTCTCCATGTGATGAAAATATTAATTCTTTCTCGGTGTATTCAACAGAAAACAATTACTTTCCTGGCTATATGTCACGACGAACATTGAATTACATCTATTGAGCACACACAGATATACAGATATATAAATATTCAATATTCTTTGAGAATTCCTCACCGAGATGGGAATTTCTGTTCTGGAGTATTTCTTTCGTTTTGCTTTATATTTTGCTTTATTAACATCACAATATCCAGGCAATCTTGAGTACAATTCGCAGTTTTGATGAACCAAATTATGGAAAACTTTTGCATTTGAAAAAAACAGGAAGAATATGTGAATGACTAATTGAAACATTAAAGAAGTTGTTATTTATGAAAATGATGAAAATAAAAATGTAACAGTGATAAAGGGAATGCAGTTTGGAAAAAGCGTTAATGATGAATGTGGTTCATCTGATTATTACACTTCATATTGAAATTTTAATTTAAAATAATTTTAAAATTCGTTTTTCACCAGGTATTTTCTCGACTACGAAACATGTTCGATATTCGAAGAAAAAAAAAATAACACCAAGTAAATTCTATTACACAAATTGAATTGTTTGTGACTAGTTTTGGCTCAAACAACAATGTTCAGACACAATACACAGTACCTGTAAATATATTTAGTTACAAGGATAATGAATTATTGAGGAACAAACATAAATTAAAAATTCAGTTTCATTTTATAATGTGATTTTCATCTTTAAAACAAAGATTTATGCAAGAAGTGGCAATTTCCATTTGTTTGCAGTGAGAAATTCTTGGAGACCGATTTTATCAAAGGTGAGAATATTTGAGGTTATGTAAAGGGCCCCTCTTTATACTCAACATAGAATAATATGACCAGCCTTTAAGACGGCTTCGTCTTTTTTTATTGGCCTTTGAGGAATAATGAGGTAGGCAGAAATGTGCGATAAATCCAATTCAACTTTCGACTATTTCAACAATTTAGTTGAATTTGAATGCAGACGAAATCAAACACAATGGTCCCTTATGGAATAATACAGCTGCTCAACATAATACTGCTCAAATTCTGTGCGCCATCTAGCGGAAACGAATTTCGCGAATAATAGTAACCGCTGATGGATCAAATTGTTGATCTGGCCAACAATCAAAATGGTTGATCCACATGCTATGAATAATTACATTCCAGAAATATGAAACTATTCTCGTCACACCCTGCTGATTATCAATATGAATGATCGCCACTATACCTGAATTCGCAATTTGTCATAATCCTTGAGCCTCTCTTTGTCTTCTTGTCTTTTCAGCTTCAAAGTTTCCAATTTCTCAGCGAGGTCGCGAATCTGCTGGCCTCTGTTATCCAATTCTTGCTGCAGCTGGAGGTTACTTATTTTCTCTTCAACAGATGTGATCGGTGTCGGTGTCGTGGTCATGGCTTGCCCAGGCGTAAACTGAGGTTTCAAAGTTTCCACAAATCCAGTCTAGTAAAAAATATTTCGACTTTAACAATGGAAATTTCCCATAATATACAGGGTGATCTATGTAATAGTGCATTAAAAGATTTAATCCAACATTTTAGGAAGTGTCTGCAATGATTTATAGTAATCCGAATGAATTAATGATATTTATTCAAACTGAGATCTGCAAAGGCATGCCACTGAACAACCTCAGGAGAACTGTTGTAATTTATGTAGATTTCTCGGCGTGGGAATATGGCATTTGCAGTGTTGCAAACTACATCAGAATTTACGCTCGAACATTCAAGTTTCCACATACGACACACACTTGAATTTCTATTGTCCTCTCTGAGTGAGGATACTCACAACCGAAAGAACTACATAAGCATAAAAATGAGAAGACACGTGACCGAGCAATGGGAGGCAAAGGATAAATTAACCCCAAAAATCTAAAAAAATCAATAACCTAGTTTTATTACTCTCGCTTTTCACGTCATGCATATTTTTATTTTTTTTTATCTCGTGGAGCATCGCTCGTACCTAGGAAGGACACTTCCAAGCGGAACTCGGCAAATTCGAACAACATATATTGTCTTGATTACAAAAGAAGCGGGTGGTGTTTTGTATTGTTGCTTGAGGCTAGTTTTTTCATTGGAAATTGTTTGAATTTGACAATACATTTTATGAACGTCCGAATTGAAATATAATTTCATGAATTATTGAGAAAAAAGCATAAATGGAAATGTCCTGCTGTATAGTGAAATGTGGTAAATCTGAAGAGAATGGATTTAATTTCTTTAATTTTCCAGAGGGAACATCAACCATTATTCCCTTATAGAAGGAATGTATGAAACGGCCTGGATGAAAAATTAATTTGAAGACAAGCAAAATTTTTTGAGGTATGTATATACATACATTAAAATTCACTACTTATAGCAGTAGATTATAATGGAACAATATTTCATCAGGCCCATTTTCAAACAGGATATTTGAAAATCCGTTTCCGATTCCATTATAATCATTACACGAAATGCAAAACAGGGAGAAAGAGGAATTGATTGCAAAGCCATACGTGATGAAATTGAAAATTTGAGAATGAAACTGAGGAAATCAAGTAAATTGCAAGGTGATATATCATTGAATGGCGTTTTCAATACCGACCAAATTCAAAATATATCAGTGAAAAGTGAATGCAGGAAAATGTGGAAAATCAAGACAATTCCACATACAATAAGGAACTAGCCACAAGTATATCCATATGTGTCTATTTTATCATATCAAGATATTGCATTCTTTCCATTTTTATAACTGCTGTTCTGCGAAAAGTGTATCGCTATAAATTGAATTGGGTGTTTATACCCTATTTCTATTTTCGAACTACGGCTATTATTGATTTGACAGAAAATCTAACCTCTAAAATCGTTAAATACTGACAATCAGGCGCTACTAGGGAAATTGAAAAGAAAAAGAGCACAATATATGTCTTATTATTATTTTATTCGCTCAAGCCATTGTAATATAGAAAATAGAAAAGGACAAATGTTGAGCACTGTTCGAACTCTTATCTAATTAATACCATCCAGTGACTCTAGTATTCACTTGTCCCAGTGTGCAATGAAAACATGGTGGATACTTTAAACCTGTTTCAATATTTCCCGAATTTACGGAAATATCCTGTACCATAATGGTTTCCACTTCGTAGGAGTATGGAATATTGCGATGATATTGACTTATTGACAAACGATTGAGAAAGCCTCGACGAATGTGATCGCATAGTTAGCGGCCCGGTGGTCGAGAGCGCAAAAGCGATGAGTTCCTAAGGAACTCTCACCGAGGCATGGGTTCGAACCCCACTTAGACCATGGACGTTTGTGAATGTATGCTTCCCTAACCCCGCACATGTTTAGACTTATGGGACGTTGGTTTCAGTGCTTGAACCAACTAGGGATTGCAATAAAAAAATCTTATTCGGCACTTAGCGACAGTGCACTGAGTGTGGTGATTCAGCATTCGAAAATTTTCTCCTCATTTATATTCGCGGTGCAGTCATGAGTCCCAACCGGGGTTCCAAGTGTGATGAAAAGGGAAGGGTTGTGGTCGTGTCAGGTGATTATAGAGGCCCCTGAGGGGGCCATCAGAAAGTGCCTTCTCCTCGTCTTCACTAATATATGGGGTGAATTTTGGGATTCGGCAACAACATCTTTTCGTCATAACTTCCCAACAGCTTCTTCGATTTGTCTTATTCCAAATCAGGAAAATCTACGACCGTTCTTGAAACATTTTGCTACTTCAATTTATTATCAAAAAGTTCATTCAGTTTTCACAAACGAACATCGAATATGAAATATCCAAAATGTTTCTCACACTTTCACAGAATTGTTTGAAAAACGATACATTATTAGAAAAACCGAAATGTTGGCAACAAATTCATTCAGTCATTTCATTTTTTCGTGGAGGGTATCATTATCACCCTGTAGATCTTTTACGAATCAGTGGATGGGGGGGTATCTGTATGGATGTTGATGATGGCCATCGATTTGAATAATGTTATGATTATTAATTCACAATTTTATCGATTCGATTTGTTTTATCAAGTTATTTTGGACACTTATTTGCTGTACAGAAGAATAATAATTATTATCATCCTTTGTTATAGTATTCTTATAAAAAATTGTGGATAAACCCCCATCTTCTGATTGATTGTTTAGAATCATTTGAATCAATTGCCATTGATATCCATACAGATACCCCATACACTAATTCGAAAAAGATATACAGGGTGATTATTATACCTTCCAAAAAACAAATTAAATGAAGAAATCCAGGCCTGGAAATTTGAGAACACGTTGATTTCCATTGAGCTAAAGCATTGAAAATGTCAGTCTTACTTTAAAAGTGAAATTTATGCGTTGCGAAGTATGTATCGTTTTTTTTTTAATTGTGTGAGTGTGAGAGAAATTTCGGATATTTCATTTCCGTTGTTTGTTTGTGACCTTTGAATTTTCTCTGTCACAGTTTCCAAAAACCATATACAGGATGAACTTTTTGAAATAAATTGAGCTAGCAAAATGTCGCAAGAACGATTCTGGATTTTCCTAATTCTAAATAAGTCAGTCGATTAGAAAGTAGTAGCAGGATATCCCATGCGAAAATCAGACAAATCGAAGAAGCTGTTGGAAAGTTATGACCAAAATATGTTTTTGCCAAATCCCATAATTCACACTATATATTAGTGAAGAAGAGGAGCAGACACTTTCTGATGGTCATTAGGTATTCCCGTCAGGTGCCTCTATTCGTGGTTGGAGTATGTACAGTTCCTCATGACTCACCCTGTATAATATGAAGATAAACTTGAAATAAATAAAATAAAATTGTAAGTATATTAACTAGACATTTTCTATATGGACCGTTAGGAAATTTTACAAAATGAAAAATTTTGTGAACATGATTGATGATGAAACATAAACAAATACCTCCACAAATGAAGCCCTCTTTGGGATCTGGCTGGACTGATCACCCCCTTCGACAGGTTTTTCGGTTGACGGAGAAACTAGATGACTTCCGCTTCCACTGAGTGATTGTCTACTTCCAGTAAGTGATTGCCTGCTGCCAGCCAAAGACTGTCGGCTGCTAGCGAGAGACATTCTCGAACTGAACAAAATAGTTAGTTGTGTAATGCGCTAAACGGCAATTCGGTGTTCGAGAACATCAAGATAATTCGAGAGCACCAAGAGCATGTCTTGCACTAGTTGAACACAATATTTCTACAAAATAGTATTTACTAATGATGATAGCAGATAGTGTTTCGTGCATTTGTATATGAAATTAAAGTGTCATCGGGGTCATGAGAACAAGTCTTCAGACAACTCGAAAGATTTCCCTTGCTTGACGTATACACATACGAATTATCGAAAATACGGGAGGAAAAGTCATTTCGGGTGTAAGAAAAAAGCAATCTAATCTAAACATTAATGAACACTTTATTTCTATTAGCAGGTAAATGGAGGTAATCTGGAGACGTGCTAACGTGCACCTTCGTGCCTGAAAGATAAAATCAAAGGAATTTAATGATGATAGAAATATAAATCATCATAGGCTTTAAGGAAACAAAAAAATGAAAGTTATGTTATTGAAAAGTCTCTCAGTATAGTTAGTTTCTAGAATCATAGTATGGTTTCTAGTTTCTACAAAACAAAAGTATGGATATTCAATGTATGTAAGTTAAATAATACATACATGCTACACAAAGATTCTTACTTGTGCCTCTATAGTGGCAGAAGTTTGAAGAAACCTGATAGTTGCCAGTTGTTAATTATGAAATGTTGTATTTGGTGATATCACTTTGTCAGCTTTCTCAAAGTATTACCTCAGTTCACGACATTCGTCAAATTGTCATTATTACTAGTACAATTGTCATTATTACTAGTACTGGTAGAGAGGGGGACGTTGGCAAGTTAGCAACTAGTCCCTGATGGGACCTTTTTTCAAGCCTTAATGTGTAATGAGTGATGTGGTTCGCTTAAGAGAGTTGGCTTACACCCTTTTGAGGTACCGTCCATCATTTCTCTCTTATACTCGTTTTTCAGCTGTGTTGTAGGCAAGTGATGTACTTACTACAGCTACCTCGTTAGGCCTGATAAAGCATTGTGTCGTTCTCACGTTCAGCTGGTATTTTTCCACAGCCACCTACATACACCGTCTTACTTTTTCTCTGATGCACACATCATTTCTTCCTATGTGTGAACGTATTGTTACTAACTCCTACTTTAGAAGCTGTACTGTCAATTGGAACAAAACAGTAAATCGTAAGGAACTATCTCCGTCTACGAAACTTTGAATAACTCGCACTACTAATTAAATAAATTCTCAACTCTGCCGGAGATTTGATATCCGGATGCTTAGCTCGCGAGACCATCGCTTACCACTAGCGCTAGTACCGTCTAATTGTTATTCTTAGACAGCTTCAAAATTATGCCACTAGAGGCGTAATTATTGCGTAGCCAATAATACGTTTTTGTGTTAAAAACTTGAGAATATAATATAATACTCATCTGGAGAAACGATATTAGACGTCCAGTTAATAAAAATGTCTATCCTAATTTTAGACTGCTTGAAAATAATTTATAACAGGAGATTAAAGCCGTTTCTCCTGACTTATGCAGTATGGAAAACTGGTGATATCTAGATATAATTTTTCATGTATAAATTTTCAATGAATGTAGTTTCAATTTGATAAAGTTTGTTGGGAAACCTGATGATAGCTGGGCTGAATCGAAAAGAAAGACTCTCTTGTATTGATGGAATATATAAAAAATATTTGAACGCTATTTAATCAATTATACCACAAGTTTCATCAGTAGATATATGCAGAATTTTAAATTCCAACTTTTGGTTTCCAAGTTATTAGTCTGAATTTTCGAGTCTTGTATATAAATCAATTATTATCCTTCAATATGGATGATAAAAATTAAAGATCGGCTATCGTTAGCCACTATCTTGTATAACCCAGGAAATGTGAATAATGAAATATAATGAAGTGTCAAACCTGGAAGCAGAAAGTGAAGGCCCTTCTTGCGGTGATCTTTTTCGACGTATACTAGCCAAGCAGCATGAAATGTAAAATATGGTAAATGACTTCGTAGGAATATTTCTCGATCGAACATAAACTATCTCAAAATATAGAATTTCCAAAAAAGATGTTTTGTCAAAAGTTTGTTCTTTGAAACTACAGAAAATTACAAAAAAGTTGGCACCGTTTACTCAAGTAAAATCCTAAAATCTTTCATATTACACTGTTTTACATCTTACCAAAACGATTTTTGACCCATTAATACGTGGTTCGCTTATTAAATAATTATCCTTTCATAATTATTATTCTTCCTGACTATGAAGGGCACTTACTACTTGTGATCAACGTCCGCTATGTTCCAATAAACAGTCTAATAAGATTTTTTTCAATAACTAAACTATCAGAAAGGTAAATTGAACAAAAATCCTCTTTCCTTGTTCATGACTATCATCCTTCTCAACTATTTCTAAGCAAAAATAATCATCTAGTATAACAATACATAGACATCTCCACAAAATATATTTTTTCGGCAACCGGCCGGGAAGTGCTATGAAAATCTTGGTAGATATGGTTTTGATAAATGCTGATGATAATTACCATAGCAGCGAAATATCGGCTGACAGTAATTTGACATGATATGAGTTGACATTTTGAATTTTAAAGTTTGGTTGCAATTATCGCAATAAACTATCGAAAGCAGCTGCGATAGTGAGTTTGAAAACGTCCATACGACATTTCCAATGTAACAGTTAGTAGGTATCAGTGACGGTTCCTCAGAGGAGGCTGAGCCTCCTCAAGAATTTCCATACATCGAATAGTTCGATGTACAGGGTGATCAGTTAAGGGTAGCGAGCGGCCATATCTAATAAGATATTGGTCGTATAGATTTGAGAAAAAAAAATCATGATGAAAGTCGCCAAGAGAAATTGCTGGAAATTATTTTCGAGTTTGTCAAACCTCCGCTAGAGCTCGTAACAACCAACACCAAGTAGAAAAATGAGATTTTTATAGAATTTTGTTTAATGAAAGTATATCGATGATTTCATTTTCATATTGAATGACCATTTCCCTACATTTTTTGTCTGACAGGTCATCAAAATGAAGCGGTGGGGGAAGTTCAATTGTTTTTTAATCAAACCAAGATTTCTCCCGTTTATTCCAGCAAACTTAGGCTCATATGGAAGAGCATGATTTGCCCTACAAAACGCTCATTTGGTTTCGAATTTTTGACCTTTGCTGTCGCCGCTAGATGGCGTTAACTGAAATGTTAGCAAAATTCTGATTTTTATTCGAAAAAAACAAATGTAATGGTACATTAATTTTTATATGTTTTGGAAGAGGATAAATTGCTCTATAATTTAATGAAAACAATTCATCATCTTCCTTTTTTTTGAACCGTTGATATTGACCAAAGTATAATTTTATTAAATTAAAAAATGGCACGCCACTGTTTTTTATTGAAATGAAAATCAGTTTTTCAATCTCTCATTAGTTGCTAACAAAAAGAACCACTTGACTTTTTTTGTTAGACAAACGGTTTTGGATTGAAAAAATAAAATAGGTTTACATACTGGTTCAAAATTATATTAGATATGGGCGCCCCATGTAAACCTATTTTATTTTTCCAATCCAAAACCGTTTGTCTAACGAAAAAAAGTCAAGTGGTTCTTTTTGTTAGCAACTAATAAGAGATTGAAAAAATGAAATTTGCTAACATTTCAGTTAACGCCATCTAGCGGCGACAGAAAAAGTCAAAAATTCGAAACCAAATAAGCGTTTTGTAGGGCAAATTATTGCTTAAATCGGTCGAAATAAACGGGAGAAATTTTGGTTTGTTTGAAAAAACAATTGAACTTCCCCCACCGCTTTATTTTGATAGATAGAACAAAACGTATTAGACAAAAAATGTAGGGAAATGGTCAGTTAATATGAAAATTATATCATCGATATACTTTCATGGGACAAAATTCTATGAAAATCCCATTTTTCTACTTGGGGTTGGTTGTTACGCCCTCTACCGGACGTTTGACAAACTCGAAAATGATTTCCAGCAATTACTCTTGGCAACTTTTATCATGATTTTTTTTTTCGCAAATCTATACGACCAATATCTTATGAGATATGGCCGCTCGCTACTCTTAACTGATCACCCTGTACACCGAAATAGCTATCTTACATTTGTTTTATCGATATTATTTTCTGATATCGAGTGGAACTTGAGAATTTGTCAGCAATTCTTTCATATTAAAAAGTATTTAGAATAGAATACAAATGTGCGACTTGGCAACATACAACGGAAAGCAACCGCTGAAGAATGAAATTCACCAGAATTGCGATTCGCGAGGAAGTTTGTGTGACAAAGATGTTTATAAGTATATGGGTGTTAGCACTGATGCGCTTTTGTTTTGTTCAAACTTGACAGCAATAAACAGGTGAAATTCTCAATATAAGGTTTTTGTTACATCTTATTCACATCTCATTCTAGTAGAATCTGAATTATCAGAATTAATTATATTGAACACTATCAAAAATGAACCTACATACACAATTTCTGTATTTTTTTATCGTAAGTATGAGTAATTGTTGTTATTTGGCCCGATGGCTAGAATTTAACACTTCCCATTCAGCCTCCCCTGTAATACTAGCACGAGCCGCCACTGGTAGGTATAAGTATTCTGTTCAAATTTCAGTATTTGATACAAATGAGAATTAATGAAGAAGAAATTGTATTCTACAAAGAAATATAATATGGAAATGTGTCTCATTGATTTGTTATTCTACATGGTTGCCGAAAAAATAGTGCACGCAACACGTCCAAAAACAGTTTTTTGGACTCGCAGACTTCCAGGACTCGCCTACGGCTCCGCCTAAAATGTTGTCTACTCGTCCAAAAAACGGTATTTTCCGGACCTGTTACGTAAATTACTATTCCCAGAATATCGAACATGTTTCGATAACCCTTAATGGGAAAATATACACTCAGCGGCAAGAAAACCGGCCACAAAAAAATTTAGCCGAACTGATCGCCCTGTAACTTTTTCAATTCTTGTCCGTTAAAATTTCGACCAAATTGTAGATTCAT